CAACAACAACAACAAGCTCGGTGAGGTGAGCATATAGCGTATCTTCGATACCAAGCCCTCACGCAGTAGTAGTAGTAGTAGTAGTAGTAGTAGTAGTAGTGGTAGTAGTAGCAGTAGTAGTGGTGGTAGTGGTAGTGGTAGTGGTAGTGGTAGTGGTAGTGGTAGTGGTAGAGGTAGAGGTAGAGGTAGAGGTAGTGGTAGTGGTAGTGGTAGTGGTAGTGGTAGTGGTAGTGGTAGTGGTAGTGGTAGTGGTAGTTGTAGTGGTAGTAGTAGTCGTCGTCGTAATAGTAGTACTTGTAGTAGTAGTCGTCGTCGTAGTAGTTGTACGAGTAGCACCATGGTGGTAGTGGTCGTGGTAGTGGCAGTGGCAGTGGCAGCGGCAGTGGCAGTGGCAGTGGCAGTGGGTAGTTTGTAGTGGGTAGTGGGTAGTGGGTAGTGGGTAGTGGGTAGTGGGTAGTGGGCAGTGGGCAGTGGGCAGTGGGTAGTGGTGGTCGTGGTAGCCTTCAACATTAAGCCCTCAGCCCGTAATCTAAGCCTTCAACCCGAGACCTTAGAAGTCAACCTGTTCCGTAAGCTTTTCTGGGAACCCCTTATTGCCCATGGCCGACGCCATGGATGAAGCTGAAAAGAACAGACGTTACCAGTTGGGAAGTACATACACATACAGTTCCATACTATTCCACAGTGTTCTTTATGTGTTTTCAGCGCAGTCATGCGGCAGAATTCCCTTTTCAAATGAACCTTCCAGTGCGGACGTGGGCCAATACCACCCAAATGGAGTAAAGGATAGTGTACTCCAAATTTCCATGCCAGGTATTAACGCGCCTACAGAACCTCAAACCATAATTCCTGGTCTTAGGCTCTCAGATCTTGATTCCTCAGAGTGGCACCCACAATCAGCTCCGCATGTCTTCGATGTGGAAGGTTGTCGAAGCAGGAACTCATCGACACCGAGGAGGGCGGGTGGTCTCTTCAGGCTTAGAGCTGAGGTTTGACATGGAGGTTCGTAAGCAGCTATAAGTGGGCTCAGAAGTCAGGTACTTGCAAGCAAAACACATTTTCGGGGACTTATAACCATGTTTACAGGTAGCCATGAACTTCTAAGTTGGGTTCCCTAGCGCGTCCTAAGTTTCATGGGGGATTTCGGGTTTTCGGAACAAGGTTGTAGCGCTGTCTTCGAAGCGGGGTTTGGCTTTCAAGTGCGGCACAGTAGAGTTCACGACTTTGGGAGTTGGGGGGCCGTAGGCTGCAGGGCTTTTGAATTTGGGCGGAAAGTTTTGTGCTTATGGTCTGATTCATGGATCCTCTTAGGGGCCCGTTTCAGACTAATGTAGGGAACATCAATAAGAAACCCGAATGGTCTATATCCCCGAAACACTAGGATCCACATAACGAGCCCCAATAAGGATCCAAGGTTTCTTAATCAGGCTCTTCTACTTGGAGGTTCATGGGTAGTTATAAGTGGAGTTATCACAGCATTCCTCAAAACGGGCACAGTGGCCCGAATAATTACTAACACTATTCCTCGAGTTTCCTGCTCGGAGTGTAGTACACTATGCCCTTTCCGCGCCCAAGCAGATTTTAAGTGTGAAGGTCCTTATATTCTATACCAAACCGCTTTAACATCCCTTACAGAAACGGCTTAAAGAAACCCTATCATCGAACTCTTTGATTGAACCCTATTCTAGTTCTGAAGGCCCCTACATAACGGGTTTCGTATCGGAGCATCCTGGGATCATACTAAACTTGCTGTTTAGGGTTTAGGGTTTAGGGTTTAGGGTTTAGGGCTTAGGTTTTAGGCATGGAGAAATCCGGCATGGTACTGGGTTCAGGGTTTGGGGTCTACGGTTAAGGGATAAGGGCTTTGGATGTTGGGTCCCGGGCCCTGAGAAGCAGCTTCTTGCCAATGTCATACTTGCTATAGACCCTAAACCTCAGAAGTCTTCAAAAGAAGAAGAAACGCAACCTTTCCGCGCCTTTAGGGGCTCAAAAGGGACCCGTCCTAGAAGTCCTCAGCGGCTAAGCCCAACACGAAAAAGGATTTACTCAAAACATCTTCTTTGACTCATCATACCCAACACCTTTCAAACAGCTTATATAAGTAAGACCTATATTCCTGGACTCCTGACAAGAAAGCTTGTAGAATTGCGGTTATATCCCTTAATATGTTTTTGGTTGGTTTCTCTGGAGCCTTGGAGGATGCCATCTTGTGCATCAACCACTGCGACTCAAATCCCTCAGTCGTTCAGTGCGCCCTCTGTCCGGAGCTGCAGTGGAAGGCTAGGGGGTTGATCGTTTTGGGTTTCGGGTTTAGGGTTTAGGGTCAGGGTGTTGGGGCTTACGGTTTGGAGCTGGAGTTTGCGATTAGTTTCGGGTACATCGTCTTGGGGTCCTTACAAGCGCCTTTGGGAGGTCCCTTCGTTACGGCATCAAAGAACTACCAAGCATGGGGCTCCTGTGCGGGGGTTGCTGGCTTGGCATCCGTATTCTACGTAGTGTAGAAGCCTAACAGTTACCAATGCTATTTCATAGGATTCCTCAATGTGGCCATGCCTTGGTATACTCTAACGTAGCCCACCCAAAACAGCTATTTCTATTCTCGAGCACTCTATACTACTCCTTCGGGCTCGCAAAGAAGGAGCGGAATCTAGAGACCACCCAGCATATTATGTTGGAGGTTGGGTTCATAAAATGTAGAGGCGTTTACCACAGGAAAAGGGTTTTGGGGTACATTGTGTATAGCTGCATAATTTACTGCATATAATACTATAGGGTAATTAGAGCCCATTTTCGTCATAAGAGTCGTTGCAAACCTTGCAACCTCTGAAAGTTTCGAATCAAAAGGATCCTCGCACCCCCTTCGGGCTGTGTGCTCGGACGTCGGAAAAGTACTCCATAATATCGCAGCATGCACTTTATACATCGAAAGACGTATTGGCTCCAACCGGAAGTTGAAGAATTCTACTATCTGGTCCCGGGCCCCCTCCCGTCCCATCCTGTCCGTTCTGTGCCGTCCCCCGTCCCGTCCATATGTCCCGTCCTTTCCAATCCGTCCATCCGTCCGTCCTCCCTCTGTGCGTGCATCCGTCCGTCCGTCCTCCCTCTGTCTGTCCGTCCGTCGTCCGTCGTGCGTGTTCGTCCGTGTCCGTCCATCCGTGCGGCCAAAGTGGATCTTCTGTTCTGTACGAAGAGGAGGCAGAGGACTGCTGGCTCACGGCTGTCTATGTATCAGCATTCCTTGACCCTGAGCCCTCATTCCCAAGTCAAAAACCCCAAACCCTAACCCTAATGCCCGGAGCCTAAGCCCCAAACCCCAAACCTGTTAGAAGGGGCCTAAACCCTAAACCCCAACTTGTAAACCCTGAACCTTAAACCGCGGATGCAACGCCGAGGTTTTCGGACTCCGTCGAGATCGAGGTTTCGGAAGCGTCCTTCGCAGCCGCAGTTGGTGAGGTTTGATAGGATACTTGGAGCTTCGTGGGTAGTTATAGGTGGGGTTATAAGTCCCCAAATTTGTGTTATAAGTATAGTTACCCTACTTATAACCCCACTTATAACTGCCAAGTATAGGACTTAGGGTTTCGGGTGTTGGGACTTCAGGGCTTTGGGCTGCTGTGTACTTGGAGGTTCATGGGTAGCAAAAAGTGGGGGTTATAAGTAGGGTAACTATTCTTCTAACCCAGATTTGGGGACTTAAAACCCCCACTTAGAACTACCCATGAACCTCCAAGTAGGCATGTAGGGCTTTTGTGTTTCGGGCCTTAAGCCCTTAGCCCTTAAGGCTATGCACCGGAAGCCTTACCTAAAACCCTACAGCTCTAGTGCCATCGTCTTGACAGCCTACTGTTTGAAAGACACAAAATCTTAAAACCCCAAGACCCGAAGCGCAGCCAATGCTCAGGCTCACCCTTTCATGCTGGAGTGGGACTGCGAGGACTCTGACTTTCCTCGTTTTTGAAGGTCTTGGGGATCGGAATTAACGTGAAATTAGCTGTAATGTTGTACATATCCCACAACCCTGAAGTATTATTGGAGGTGCCTTTGGTCTTGATGCCCGACAACGGGCCAGAATCACGCTTCATGTGATGCCGCCTGCTGATTTTGGAGGTTTATGGGGTTCGGAATCATGAACCCTAAACCCTAAACCCTAAACCCTAAACCCTAAACCCTAAACCCTAAACCCTAACGGTAGCAGTTGCTCTTGGGGCGTAGGGGTTTAGGGTGCAGGCGCCAGGCTTCAGGTTCTGGATGCTGCGTTGGTGTTTGGGGTTTAGGGTTTAGGGTTTAGGGTTTAGGGTTTAGGGTTTAGGGTTTAGGGTTTAGGGTCTAGGGTTTGGGGGGTGTGTCATCGCAGAGCGACCGGAAGAACACGATTTGTCACGTGGCCAGCTGCTAACATCCATCCTTACTTGGAGGTTCATGGGTAGTCAGACGTGGGTTTATAAGAGGGGTAACTATACTTATAACCCATATTAGGGGACTTATAACCCCACTTGTAGCAACCCATGAACCTCCAAGTACTAAGCCACGCCCTGACATTGTAATTTAAATCACGAAGACTCGGGTTCTCCACAACAGCACTCCAGACTCCAGTCACCCGTATGTTAGGGTTCAGGGTTTAGGGTTTTGCAGACTTGCGACCTAGCCTGAGCCTCCCCCCAAACAGGCAATAACTTCACTTCTCAGTAGGGGAGGATTTCTACACAAATCAAATTGCATAGCTTCACGAAGACCCCATATCATCACATTCTCCACACCTGCCACCACATCGCCACATAACACTCGACAGGGGCCCGTACAAGCCTAAACCCTACACCCTAAACCAAAAACCCTAAACCCTAAACCCTAAACCCTAAACCCTAAACCCTAAACCCTAAACCCTAAACCCTACACCCTAAACCCTAAACTGTCAACCCTGAACCCTCAACCCTGCATCTCCAAACTGCTGAGAGAGGCTCCGACCGAGCCCCCGGCCGAGCGTCAGAACGGTGAGGGAGGGTTTAGGGTTTAG